AATATCTTTTAGGTGTCATTCAAGAGTCATTTGGCATTTGGCATTACTGTGGTGAAGTCTGAGGCCAGCCTGCCTTTTTTTTTTTCCCCTCCCTTTAAATTGACTTGGTCATTTAAATGGCTGCCCAAGTAATTCTTTCTCTAATCAAGCAAATGCAATAACTTTCCTAGGATAGATATGTGTTGGTGTTGATCATTCTGGGTCATTTTTCATGCCTTTTCAAGAAATTTTCATATTGAAAAATTCAGGGAATTTTTGGGATTTTTTTTCCTCAAATATATTTAAATGCTAGTTCTGTTCTCTTGTTTCGGTTTTCTTTTTTAACTACTCCAATGATGCATATGTTGACTGTGCTTTGCTTATTTTCTGGCTACTTTCTTCTTACCAATCACTTTTTTCAGTGTCATCTTTTTCTTACTCAGCATTCTCTAAAGTCTTTTCTCTCTGCTATGCTATATTTCTTCTTTCAGTTCATCCAGTTTTTAAAAAATTCATGGAAAACTGGCCAGAATTTTCATATATTTCACGGCAGTATATATCTGGTGAATTTTTTTGGTAGGTTTTTTGAGGAATTTGTTCTTTGCTTTCTTATTTTTTATTTTTATTTATTATTATTATTTATTTTTTATAGAGATGGGGGTCTCACCATGTTGGCCAAGTTGGTCTCGAACTCCTGACCTCAAATGATCCACCCGCCTTGGTCTCCCAAAGTGTTGGAATTACGGGCGTAAGCCACCGCACCCGGCCTTCTTTCTTATTTTTTTAATTAAAAAAAAATGGACAATACCTTTGCATTGATGCTGTACTTACCCTCTTTTTATTACGTATCATGAGTTAGATTTGCCCATCTCTTACTAACAAGTTTCGCTTTTAAGGGCATATTTTTGCCATCATTTCTGATGTTGGTTGCTTTGGGGGCCATTTTCCTGTTCTACATTGGCATTGCATTTCCTCATGGAGCTTTTGCTCAGTCTTTGCCCTTCCTTTTGAGATGCAAAGCTTTTGTTGTATGTCAGGAATATAGGTTTATCACTGAAAAATAGAATTTGAGGATAAGTGGTCAAACTACAGAAAAACAGGATGTGTTGATCATTGAAAGGAGCGTGTTGGTTGCGTTTTTGAAGATCTACCCTGTGTGGGCCAGCTTTCCCTTTTCTTTTCAGTATGGATCCTATTATTTACCTTGAAACAAATTTGGACAGATTTGGTGGCTTCAATCAAACTTTTTTTTCGAAGTTCATGTTTTCTTTACATTACTATCATTCTAGCTTCTTTTAAATGAAAAACGATTTTCACCTTTATTGGTGTGGGCCATTACTTTTCCTGATAAAATAAGCCAGGATAGGCTAGGGATGTCGAAGGAAGCACAAACCTCTGAAATCTTAGGTTCTTGAAGTCCTCTGGGTTTGGTGGGCTCCCTAGAGGACCCTTTCAGGAGGTGACTCGAGGACCCAGACTACTTCATCTACACCACTACCATAGCTTCTAGGTTGCCGTGAAATGGGAGGCAAGTGTGTGAACTCAGCTTAGTCCTGGATACTTTGGACAAGAAGTGCCATGTTGTTTTTATTCTTAGCCTATTGTCTAGGACAATAAGAGCATTTAGAAATTGTAAGGAAGCATGTGAAGCGTTGGGTGCCATGGTGGCCTTTGCTACCTAATACAGAGATTTGTTTTCAGTCAGTAGACGTTTATTAATACTTCTCCAGTAAGTTATCTTGTTGAAAACAATAAAAGAAATACTCCATATACACTGTGGAATACCATGCAGCCATAAAAAAACAATGAGTTCGTGACCCTTGTAGGGACATGGATGAACCTGGAAACCATCATTCTCAGCAAACTGACACAGGAACAGAAAAACACCGCACGTTCTCACTCATAGGTGGGTGTTGAACAGTGAGAACACATGGACACAGGGAGGGGAGCATCACACACTGGGGTCTGTGGGGGGGAAATAGGGGAGGGACAGCTGGGGATGGGGAGTTGGGGAGGGATAACATGGGGAGAAATGCCAGATATAGGTGCTGGGGAGAAAGGCAGCAAACCACACTGCCATGTATGTACCTATGAAACCATCTTACCTGTTCTTTACATGTACCCCAAAACCTAAAATGCAATAAGAAAAAGAAATGCTCATGATTTGGCTGGTAGAGGACAGTCTTTTGAAGGATGTAGTTTATATGTAGCTTTGACTGTTACTCTCTACATCTCTATTATTTATGTATTTTTTTTTTTTTTTTTTGAGACGGAGTTTCGCTCTTGTTACCCAGGCTGGAGTGCAATGGCGCGATCTTGGCTCACCGCAGCCTCCGCCTCCTGGGTTCAGGCAATTCTCTTGCCTCAGCCTCCTGAGTAGCTGGGATTACAGGCACGTGCCACCATGCCCAGCTCATTTTTTGTATTTTTAGTAGAGACGGGGTTTCACCATGTTGACCAGGATGGTCTCCATCTCTTGACCTCAGGATCCACCCGCCTTGGCCTCCCAAAGTGCTGGGATTACAGGCGTGAGCCACCGTGCCCGGCCCTATTTATGCGTTTTTTAAGAGACAGGGTCTTGCTGTGTTGCCCAGGCTGCTCTTGAACTCCTGGCCTCAAGCGATCCTCCTGCCTCTGCCTCCTGAGTAGCTAGGATTACAGGCATGTGCCACAATGCCTGGCAAGTTTTTATGTTTTATATAGATTTTAATCAATTGAATTGTATCAAAATCTGTTTGTACAAGTGGGTTTCTAATTTTTAAACATTCTCATGTTAATAGTACTCTCTGTAGTCTTTTCATTGTTTAAATAAAACTGTCTCAGTCTTTCTAAAGTTCGTTACTGTGGGATTTGGAAAGCCAAGGCTCCTGTTTACAGATCCGTAAAATGATGTAATAGGGAGGGACTCGGACCAGGTTGATGTTTCCTGGTTGGCTGTAGATTTTTACTGATCAGAAATGCCTTTCATTTTGCAGGTCTTCTCTTGTCCTTTACTCCCAGGTGTATTTTTACCCTACCTGCAGGATTTGGCTTATCCCTGAGAGGAACGCTTTGATCCCTGGGGAGGCTGGAGTAGAAAGATAGTAATCAAGTGCCAGTGCCAGTCAGTTTTCTGTCATCTTATTTCTCATTCTTCCAGACCCCATATATTCACACAGCTCTCTCTCCTTTGAGTGAAAGCGATGACTGATAGTCCTCCAGTGGGGGATATAGGTGAGTAAAGAGAGTTGAGTGTAGAGTGCAGGCTGGGATATTCCCCTGGATAGGCAATGAAGTGGTATTAGAGGTAGCAAGTTCCTCCGAGTCTTTGGCACTTGGGGCAGGCTGGAACACTTTGGGAGAGGGGACCTTTTGGCATCCTGGCCTCGCTCTCCACCCACACCCTCCCAGCCTGTTTGGGACTCCTTTAGTCAGATGCTCGTCCTCTCTGTGGCATGCTGCGGAGAGGCCAAGGCAGGAGGATGGCTTGAAGCCAGGAGTTTGAGACCAGCCTGGACAACATAGTGAAACCCCATCCACTACAAAAAATAAAATAAGCCAGGCTAGGAGCATCTACCTGTAGTCCCATCTACTTGAGAGGCTAAGGTGGGAGGATCACTTGAGCCCAGGAATTTGAGGTTGTAGTGACCTCTGATCTCACCACTGCACTCTAGCCTGGGTGACAGAGTGAGACTATGTCTCTAAGAAAATTTAAATAATAAACACAGTATAAAAGTATTTATATAGCATTTACATTGTATTAGGCATTATAAGTAATTTGGTAACTTTAGGGGGGCAGTTCCTGGAACCAGTCTTCGGGAGGACTATATTTCCCTAATGACTAATGATGTTGAACATCTTTTCCTGTGCTTATTGGCCATTTACATATCTTCTTTGGAGAAATACCTGTTCACAACCTTTGCCCCTTTAAAACTGTATTTGTCCTCTGGGCATGGTGGCCCTTGCCTGTAATCCCAACACTTTGGGGGGGCTGAAGCGGGCAGATCACCTGAGGTGAGGAGTTCGAGACCAGCCTGGCCAATATGGTGAAACCCCATCTCTACTGAAAATGGAAAAAAAAAAAAAAAAAAAGTAGCCAGGTGTGGTGGTGGGTGGCTTTAATCCCAGCTACTCAGGAGGCTGGGGCAGGAGAATCGCTTGAACCTGGGAGGTGGAGGTTGCAGGGAGCTGAGATTACACCATTGTACTCCAGCCTGGGCTTTGTAGTAAGACTCCATCTCAATAAATAAAATAAAATAAAATTGTTTTTGTCTTTTTTTTTTGAGACAGAGTCTCCCTCTGTTGCCAGGCTGGAGTGCAGTGGTGTGACCTTGTCTCACTGCAACCTATGCCTCCTGGGTTCAAGTGATTCTCTTGCCTCACCCTCCTGAGTATGGGATTACAGGGCTACACCACCATGCCCAGCTAATTTTTGTATTTTTAGTACAGATGGGGCTTCACCATGTTGGCCAGGATGGTCTCTATCTTCTGACCTTGTGATCTGCCCACTTTGGCCTCCCAAAGTGCTGGGATTACAGGCATGAGCCATCATGCTTGGCCATATTTGTTTTTATGAATGAGTTGTAAGTGTTCTTTATACATTCTGGGCCCACATCTCTTATCAGACATGTAATTTGGAAATATTTTCTTCCATCTGAGTTGTCTTTTCACTTCTTTGATGGTATAAATTTGCAGCACAGTTTTTAAAGTTTGATGTAGTTCATCTTTATAGCTCTTAAAGGTTTGATCTGAAGCAGTGTTTTAACTTTCAGTTGCACTCTTTGTTCATTAAATAATGATGAAACAAATCTCAAAAGACTATCATTGTATCTCTTAGCCTTTTTTTGTTGTTGAGACAGAGTCTTTCTCTGTCACCCAGGCTGGAGTGCAGTGGTGTGATCTTGGCCCACTGCACTCTCTGCCTCCTGATTCTCCTGCCTCAGCCTCCCAAGTAGCTGGGAATACAGGCGTGCACCACCACCGTGCCTGACTAATTTTTTTTTTTTTTTTTTTTTTTTTTTTTTTTTTGGTAGAGACGGGGTTTCACCATGTTGGCCAGGCTGGTCATGAACTCCTGACCTCAAATGATCCACCCACCTTGGCCTCAGAAATTGCTGGGATTACAGACTGGAGTTATTGTGCCTGGCCTCTCTTAGCCTATTTGGACTCCAGTGAGATGTAGAAATCCCCTTAGATATTTGCATTTTATTTTATAGGTAATTTGTAACATAGCTATACACACACAAGTAACTGAGATTTCACATTAAGTGTTTGCATCTTTTTTTCCTTCAGCTTTTAAAGTGTAAGTTCCGGGGCACATGTGCGAGTTTGTTGCATAGGTAAACATGTACCGTGGTGGTTTGTGGCACAGATCATCCTATCACCTAGGTATTAAGCCCAGCATCCATTAGTTATTCTTCCTGAGGTGTTTACATCTAAAGCATACATATGTGTTGTCACTCAGATCAAGAGGGAAGACATTCCCAGCACCCCAGAAGGCTCCTCACCTAAGCCAAATTTTAAGTTAGTATCAGGGGAAGTATATAAGAATCTCTTCTTTTCTTAGTTTTTAAATATGGCTGCACTTGGTATTGCATTAGCCAAATGTTGGCTCTTTAGATGAATGTAAACGGAATACTCTTCAGAGATGAAGTGCTGCACTTAATTCTTCATCAGCTTGTCCTGATCTAGCTTTTAGGAGTTTGCTGGACTTTTTGTGAGAGATTTTCTGATTGGACCTCCTCCTCCACTCAATTTTCTGTTTTTGTGAAATCTGTTAGTATGTTGCACCACTTGGTGGCGCTGTTGTGTTGGAAACAGCCGCATCGTGGAAAAGTCAACAGGGCATTTGGTTGCTGATTCCACGGTAAATAACCCCAATCTTTTATTATATTTCATTTTTTTGAAATCATCTTCTGTTTTAGTGTTTTCTATGAAGAAATCCTTTGTATTCTTTAATTGAACCTTAACAGTGTCCTTTCACCTTCATTTTTTTTCTAGGCATTTTTGATCACAGAGATAAGATTAAATAGCTTTCAATAGTCAAATTCTTTAGATTTTAAGGAGAAAAAGAGTGATAGACATTTCTTTTAGAAAGCCAATTGATTAGGAGATAAAAACCCGTAAGAATTTTTTTCCCCTCTCAATAACAAGTGTGTGTGTGTGTGTGTGTGTGTGTGTGTGTGTGTGTATCTGCATTCTCGTTGTTTCTGCTTACTTGTAGTTAGTGACTATTTACTAGCTTGATGATCATTAAGTGCTAGGAGGGTACTTAAATGTGTGATTCAGGAGACCTTGAAAACATAAACAAGGTTTTATGATTTAAGGGGAAATAGCATTCTTTTAAAGTGGTTCATGGTTAATTGTTGGTAAACATAATTGTCACCATCTTATATGATTATGGAATTCAGTTTCACAGGAAGGATCTAACTATTTTTCAGTTGCTTTTCAGAACACTCAAATTAGATGAAATGTCCATTTGGCTTAAATTTTAATACAAATTTGCAGTTTATGTGGATTAAAATGTTTTATTTTGTATTATTAATGACTTTCATGTGACTGATGTGACATTTTGCACTCCATCTCTTTCTTGAACTTGTGCACCCTTAGGAAGGTAGAACAGGCAGAAAGCATTCTTAAGCAGGACTAGCCTTGAACAACTATATAATTGATTATTTACAATATAAAGGATTTTATTTTGTGAAGTAATGGATGAACAGACAACGACTTCAAGATTTAAATAGAGCAGGGTGATATTTTGTATCAACTATCCTTGTTATCAGGGTAGAGGATTCTGAGAAAATGGAGTATCTAAGTTTACTTCCCCTGTGGCTGATTCGAAAAGAAACAAAAATCCAAATACTGAAATTACTAAATACCTGGAAAAGTTTAAATGAGTTAAGCTCTCTGAGGAGAATCCTTAACTCATTTTAAAAATCCCTATTAAAGATGAAAGCATTTTCCTGTGTTACTTCAATGACCTGTGCCTGAACAGGTAGCACAAAACTGTCTTGCTATTAAATGCATAGCTGGCCAGGCACAGTGGCCCACGCCTATAATCCCAGCACTTTGGGAAGCTGAGGTGGGCGGAGCACTTGAGATCAGGAATTCAAGATCAGCCTGGCCAACATGGTGAAACCCTGTCTCTATTAAAAATACAAAAATTAGCCGGGCGCTGTGGCAGGCAATTGTAGTTCTAACTACTCAGGAGGCTGAGGCAGGAGAACCTGGGAGGTAGAGTTTGCAGTGAGCTGAGATCATGCCTTTGCACTCTGACCTGGGCAACAGAGTAAGACTCTGTCTCCAAAAAAAAAAGAAAGAAAAAGATAGCTATATGTGCCTTTTTTGGGGGGCCACAGAAAAGGTCTCAAAGTAGATTGGGCTACTTGGAAGAGAAAATAAAGTGAAGTGCAAGGGACAGACGAATGAACAGAAGAAAAATGAAATGACAGTTTAAGAATTTTTGATCTTGTGTTATCTCAAAGTTTGTTGAAAAATACATAGAAGATCTCTATTGGGTCCCTTGCCCAACTTCCACTGGCCCAAAGAAACTATAGTTTTGAACCAACAGACCTCTGCTGGCATGTGCAGTTTCATTTTTCCTGTTTTAACAACAGCTGTGCTAAACGGAGTGGTGAATCCCAAAGGCTTATTTTTGACCTCGCTGTAAGACTCTGAGAAATTGCGTAGTCCTTCCTGAAACCACTAAGAGGAAAAATGTCTGTGACATTGCATACAGATGTAGGTGATGTTAAAATTGAAGTCTTTTGTGAGAGAATACACAAAACATGAGAATTTCTTGGCTCTTTGTGCCAGTAACTACTACAATGGCTGTATATTTTACAGAAATATCAAGGGTTTCATGGTTCAAATGGAGATCCAACAGGTACTGGAAGATGAGGTAACAGTATCTGGGGCAAAAAGTTTGAGGATGAATACAGTGAATATCTTAAGCAGTGTTAGAGGTGTTGCACCTATGGCTAATAATGGCCCAAACACTCATGGATCTCAATTCTTCATCATCTATGGCAAACAGCCACATTTGGACATGAAATACACCATATTAGGGAAGGTAATAGATGGTCTGGAAACTCCAGATGAGTTGGAGAGGTTGCCAGTCAGTGAGAAGACATATCGACCTCTTAATGAAGTACACATTAAGGACGTAACTATTCATGCCAACCCATTTGCTCAGTAGCTGTAATAGGCCTGGACACCTAACTTGACAGACTGCTGGAACACACTTATTGAGGTTTACCTAGTTTTAATTATGTCAGAGATTGCATCATCCTTCTGCTTGTTCATAACTATGATCTTCTGTGAAATAGTAGTACCAAGGGGTGCCCAACAGCTTTTATTCCCATTCTTAAAGCTTGTTCTTTATTATGATTATCCAAAATATTTTAGTTTTAATGCAGAAAATATGCTGTTTAATTTTTGTTACATATAAAGATTCATTTTTAAATGCTGAGCCTCAAGTGCAGGCATTTTTGAACAGCCTAATTACATACTCCTACCACAGCAAGTCCATATCCTGGAAGTGTTATTTTATAATAAAATAAAAAATGTTTAAAAAAAAATACATTGAAAAAGACAACCAAGATAAAACTTAGGTTTAGAAATTCAAGATCTGGTTCTGGGAAAAATAAAAATTGAGAAGTGTGTAGAAAACTTTTATATATATACATATATATATAAAATATTTTTTTTTTTTTTTTTTTGAGACGGAGTTTCGCTCTTGTTACCCAGGCTGGAGTGCAATGGAGCGATCTCGGCTCACCGCAACCTCCGCCTCCTGGGTTCAGGCAATTCTCCTGCCTCAGCCTCCTGAGTAGCTGGGACTACAGGCACGCGCCACCATGCCCAGCTAATTTTTTGTAGTTTTAGTAGAGACGGGGTTTCACCATGTTGACTAGGATGGTCTGGATCTCTTGACCTCGTGATCCACCCGCCTCGGCCTCCCAAAGTGCTGGGATTACAGGCTTGAGGCACCGTGCCTGGCCATAATATTTTTTTTAATTAAAAATTTTTTTAAAAAAATATCAGGGTTTCACCATGTTGGTCAGGCTGGTCTTGAACTCCCAACCTAAGGTGATCTGCCCGCCTTGGCCTCCAAAGTGCTTGGATTGCAAGCGTAAGCTACCACGCGTGGCCAGAAAATATATTTTAAAGAAAAAGAACATCAAAAAGTTTAAGAAATGAGTGGATGATATGCTTAAAAATATTTTAAAACCACTTGAGAATCTCAGTGAAACATATTTTTGAAAAAAATACATTTTTTGAAAATTCAAGATAAAATACCCACATAGAGCAGTAATCATGGAAGAAAGTGTTAAAAATTATCCGTTAATTTCATCTTATATAGAGTAAGACTAGAAAGCTTTACTATTTTTAGTCTTTTATGGAACAAATAATATCACTTGTTTCAAAGCATAGAAAAGTTGTTATTTCATATGTTAAAAATTCTAAGAAGAAAGAGCAGGAAAATCACAAGCATTGACCAATGTCACTTTTGAATGTCAATATAAAAATTGTTAGTAAAGCACTAGCAAATCATATTTAATACATAGTATATTAAAAAGAATCCAGCATAACCAAACAAGATTGATCTTAGGAATGGAAGGATGCTCTAATATAGGAAACCTATTAGTATGCATAACATCAGTAGGAAAGCAAACAACTATGTGAATGTCCTATTAATTGCATAAAAGATGTTTGATAAATTAGCTTTTGTTTGATAACATGTAATATTATTATTACAAAAATAAGTTGATACTTCCTTAATATGGGGAAGAATGTCTTAGACTAAATGTTAACAGTGTACTTAAGAGTGAGATACCAGAGATACTCATTTGTCTAACAAATGTGTATATTGAGCACCTGACTATGTTCCAGGCACTGTTTTGAGTGCTGGCAAACTGCCATGGAACTTAACATTCTGGTGGGGAGGGGTAACAAATGAGTTAACCATAACAAATACATTATTTACTATGTTAGGTGGTAAATTCCATTTTTAAAAGTAGTGCAGGTAAGGAGACTGTGAGGGGTAGGGTGTGTTAGGTGCAGTTTCCTTGGAGTATTGAGAAAGGGTCAAAATTTGGAAACTGGAACTTTCCCCTTAGGGAGGGAGTAAACAGTATGGATGTTTAGAAAAAGCATATTCCAGCCCAAGGCAAGGACCATTGCAGAGCCCCTGAGTGAGAGCATCAGTGAGGAGCCAGTGGGCCTGATGCAGGCAAACTGGAGGTAGCGGGAAGAGGGTGGACCAGTCCCTGAGTCATGAAGATGGTGTTTGCTCCTGTAGAGTTTGTACCTGGGTCTCCTCCCAGTGCACTGCTTTGCCATCTTGGTACCTTTGCTCTTGTACCTGTACTTTAATGACACAAAATTGTGGCAGTGGGAGCAAAAGAACTTCCACATAGATTTAAATACTATATTTGAATTTGGCTATTGATTATGAGCTGAAAAAGAATACTTTATTTGTTGTTAAATGGGTGTGGAAAATGAATAAAGAGCCTAGTATTCTAATTAAAATTTGTAAATTTAATGTTAGTGTAAATTCATCTGTTATGTAAGAACATTAAATGCTCATTTGCTCCTGGCTTTTTTTTTCTTTTTTTTTTTTTTTTTTATAACACTAGGAACATTAGGATAATTATTATGTATTTATGAGAGTACCTTACAGGGAACGGTTGCGGTGGTTCACGCCTGTAATCCCAGTACTTTGTGGGGGCCGGGGCAGGTGGATCATGAGGTCAGGAGTTCAAGACCAGCTTGGCCAATATGGTGAATTCCTGTCTCTACTAAAAATACAAAAATTAGCCAGGCGTGGTCGCGCATGCTTGTAGTCCCAACTCCTCGGGAGGCTGAGGCACAAGAATCGCTTGAACCCAGGAGGCAGAGGTTGCAGTGAGGTGAGATTGCACTACCACACCCCAGCCTGAGCAACAGTGTAAGACTCCATCTCAAGAAAAAAAATAGAGTACCTTATAGGAACACTTTATTTTTGTATTATCTTTAGGGAGTGGTATGACCTACTTATAAGTAGTGCATTTTCCATGTGACAGCAGCTTAGACTTTAATTTGGTAAAACCTTAAAACTACTTTAAATAAACATTTAAATTTTAGCATTAAGTGTTTGCATGTAATGGATTACACTTTTTGCTGTTTATTTAAAGAAAGATAGGATTTATTTAAAATTACTGTGATATTACTACAAAGCTACCATATTGCTGACTTCTCTCAGCATTTGTTCCCTTATTTCTGAAATGGTGAGTGTAATATATATACCTTATAGTGTTGTTGTTAGGCTTAACAAGTTGAATAATATATATATAAGATGCCTAGGACAGGGCCCAGCACATTAGCAAGAACTAATTTGCTTAGAAATTATAATATCCCAAGTTTTTGAGGAGTACCATGTTTTTGAGGCTTTTAGTTATGAATTTAGTCAGTTTCCTCCCATTAACCATACCTTACTTCTTTATTTTAAAATTTTTTACCTTTTTGAGACAGAGTCTCACTCTGTGGCCAAGGCTGGAGTTTAGTGGCGTAGTCTTGGCTCACTGCAACCTCTCCCTCCCATGTTCAAGTGATTCTCATGCCTCAGCCTCCCGTGTAGCTGGCACTACAGGCACGTGCCACCACACCTAGCTAAATTTTGTATTTTTAGTAGACATTGGGGGGTTTCACCATGTTGGCCAAGCTGGTCTTGAACTCCGACCTCTGGTGATCCACCCATCTTGGCCTCCCAAAGTGCTGGGATTACAGGCCACCATGCCTGGCTTAAACATACCTTTCAAATTTATTTCCATCCTTCTTTCTGCAGTGTGTCTCTTCTAGCTAAGGGTTAATCTATCCATCCAAGGAACTTTCCAGATCTAATTCTAAGCCTTTCATGGTATAAGGTCTTTTTCCTGATGAGCAAACATTATCACATATTATTATATGGTACAGGGATCCACTCAGCACTTTTTTTTTTTTTTTTTGAGATGGAGTTTCTCTCTTGTTGCCCAGGCTGGAGTGCAATGGTGCGATCTTGGCTAACTGCAACTTCCCCTTCCTGCGTTCAAGTGATTCTCCTGCTTCGGTCTCCTGAGTAGCTGGGATTACAGGCACCCGCCACCATGCCTGGCTAATTTTTGTATTTTTAGTAGAGATGGAGTTTTACCATATTGGCCTGGCTGGTCTCAAACTCCTGACCTCAGGTGATCCACCGGCCTTGGCCTCTCAAAGTGCTGGGATTATAAGTGTGAGCTATCGTGCCTGGCCTCCACTCAGCGATAATTAAGACTTGTATGATTATTTGTTTCTGTTCTAATTGCTTTAAGCTGTCCTAGTTTTTAAGCTCTTATGTCTAATTTTTATAGTTTTTAACTTCCTTTCTCACTGTCAGTTCTATTACTTGCTGCTGTCGGTATTGCTGCTTTTATCAGTTCTTCACTACTTCTGACCTTTGGAGTCTTATCTGCTGAGTGTCGAATCATTGAGTAATAAGGTTTTATAAAATAACATCTGTGGCAGGAATAGAAAATAAATTTTAGGTTGTGTATTGATTCCAGCTAGTAGTGACCACCTGGAGTGCTGTGCTAAGCAGGATTCTGGAGCTTCATTCCCGTGTAATGGGAAAGAGTGCTCTGACAATGAAAGAAGGTGGCAGTGTGAGTGCCACATAATTTGCCATTTACTGTCCAAATTAAGATACTGGCCAGGTGCGTGGCTCACACTTACAATCCCTGCACTGTGGGAGGCCAAGGCAGGTGGATCATCTGAGATCGGGAGTTTGAGACCAGCCTGACCAACATGGAGAAAACCCATCTACTAAAAATACAAAATTAGCTGGGCATGGTGGCATATGCCTGTAATCCCAGCTATTCAGGAGGCTGAGAGGCAGGAGACTGGCTTGAGCCCAGGAGGTGAAGGCTGCAGTGAGCCGAGATTGTGTCACACTACAGCCTGGCAACAAGAGCAAAACTCCGGCTCAAAATTTAAAAAAAAGTCAGGGATCTGAGTGGGTTCTGTAGTGAGTGAAATACATGTTAGTGGATGGATTTTGTAATACTGTTTTGCCTTCCTAAAGGCTTTTTCAGTTACCGATTACCCCCCCCCCCGCACACACACACACATTTACTGAGATGGAGTCTCGCTCTCTGTGGAGACACACACACACACACACACACACACACACACACACACACACACACACACATTTACTGAGATGGAATCTTGAGCTTTGTGTAGATACACACACACACATGCACGCGCACATGCACACATACACATTTACTGAGATGAAGTCTCACTCTCTCACCCAGACAGGAGTGCAGTGGCATGGTCACAGCTCATTGCAACCTCCACCTCCCAGGTTCAAGGGATTCTCTTGCCTCAGCCTCCTAAGTAGCTGGAACTACAGGCACGTGCCACCACGCCTGGTTAATTTTTTGTATTTTTAGTAGAGACGGGGTTTCACCGTGTTAGCCAGGATAATCTCTGACTCCTGACCTTGTGATCCACCCACCTTGACCTCCTCTAGTACTGGAATTACAGGCATGAGCAACTGCACCCAGCCTATTGATTACCTTTTTACTTTAGACCTTGAGGTTTTCAAATAACTTACCCTGAGATAAATGAAAAATATAGAGATGGGGATTCACCATGTTAGCCAGGATAGTCTCTATCTCCTGACCTTGAGATCTGCCTGCCTTGGCCTCCCAAAGTGCTGGGATTACAGGCGTGAGGTGCCACTCCTAGCCTATTGATTACCTTTTTACTTTAGACCTTGAGGTTTCCAAATGACTTAACCTGAGGTAAATGAAGGAAATGGCTTGAAAGGCTTTTGTCTTGCACTAAAGAAGTTAACCTTGAGATTTATAAATACGTAGTTACTCAGTAATTGTGTGAGTAAAAATTTAAGCCATGTCAAAACGTACTGGTTTTTTGGTGTGTTGATGTTTCATATTTTATCAAAATTACATACTTAGTAAAATTACAGATGTGCGATAAATTCATGGAATGGAAAATGCCCAATTATTAATAAAATTTCAGAAGGCTCACTGAATTTTCAGACACTTTTTTATGATGGCAATAAATAGGCATGTCTGTATGATTATTAGTTTTAAAATCTTTAATGTATGAATACATCTGAAAAAGTTGAAATTTTAGAATGAATGATTTTCGATATGTCTTTCCTTTGACACATATCACATATAACTTTTGCAGGTTGGATTTGCTACCATTTTATGCAAGATTGGTTGCTACTTTGCATCCCTGCATGTCTGATGTAGCAGAGGATCTTTGTTCCATGCTGAGGGGGGATTTCAGATTTCATGTATGTATTTAAGCATTTATTTTGTAATATATATATTCTTATAAGTTGAGTGAGGCTTAAGAATGTAACTGTTGGTAAGCATATTCTTGAAATTTGATAGTGGTATAACAGTTTAGAATTTACGACATTCTAAATGCTTGAAATGTGATTTACTTAACAAAGCTTGAAATTGATCAGTGATATTCTAGTAGGGGGTGAGCCGTTACTGCTACCTTGTTCTCCCATTGCAGGACCGCACTTTTTGCTTTTGTAAAGTAGAAATAATTCTCCAAGGTCCAGACAGCCAGAGCCTTCATTGGTATTTCCAGCAGAAACATAATTGGCCACTGTGAGTCAGGGCGTGGTGCCACATAGGATATGCTGCTCTAGGTGCTGGGGTCCAAGTGTGTGGAGTCTGCAAGTTGCCATTAATACTCATTAATATTAGCAGGTGCTGCCATAGCCCATGTTTCTTTGATTCTTACTTAAGAAATTTTACCTTGGATTATGGTGAGTTTTTTAAAGATCATCCTGGGAAATAAGAGGAGCTTGTTAACAAACAGCCTTCCTTCCTCTCCAGCCCTAGAAGTATGAACAGACTGTGTGTTAGTGGTTCTCCCAACCTATGTTACCCAGTTATTTCCTGGAAGTGCTGTTGCTTCAAATACAGGCCTGATAGTGGGGAAGTGATACCACCAGAGGTGACTGAAAGTGGATATTTAGTGTGAAAAAACATGAAATTCAAGTGTCGTTAGCCAATGGAAAAATGGTGTTTACAAAACTTCGCTTTATAATAAGTTGCTCAAAGCATGTGCAGGAAATGTCTGCACATGCTTTCTCTCTCTCACTGTGCACCAGTCAGTAGAATTGCCAAGCACCCAGAAGAACAGACACAGTTCCCAGGGTCAGGAACTCACAATGTAGTTGAGGACACAAGGTTTAAATACAAAAGCAAGAATGAAATAAAAATTAATCTTTAAATGTTAATAGCTGTAAGGAATCGCATGCTGAATTGCCAAGTGAGTTGTTGGACAGTGGGTGCTTTGAGTGCAGAAGAAGGAGAGACTCTCTTGCAGAGGAGAATGGTCTGTAAGCCCTTCTTATGAGATTTGTGGTTAAGATGTTTCTGGGCCAACTTTTGCTAAAGTGTTTTTCAGATTTTCATATGTCGTAGTACATAAAGAAAGGTTTCTATGTTTAGAGAGGTTGGAAACACTGAACTCAAAAAGTTAAATGGTTTGTTTTGTTTTGTTGTAAGAATCTCAAAGCATTAATATGGTAATGTGCTCTGAATCTCCTGGAGGGGCATGAATATGGAATCCCTCAAAGAACACACTTTGATAAATGCTGCTGGTTCAGAGACAGATACATCAGAAGCTGTGATATTCTTGTTGATATGTTTAATCCCATTATACAAACAAGGAACTGTTTTACTAGTGGACAGTATGAGTTCAGCCTGGCCAATATGGTGAAACTCCATCTCTACTAAAAATATAAAAAAAATTAGCCAGGCATGGTGGCGCATGCCTGTAATCCCTACTACTCGGAAGGCTGAAGTAGGAGAATTGCTTGAACCCGGGAGGCGGAGGTTGAAGTCAGTCAAGATCGTGCCATTGCTCTCCAGCCTGGGTGACAGAGCAAGACTCTGTCTCAAAAGCAAAAAAACACAAGTTGCCGGATCAAGCATAATTAGTGCTATTGGTGAAAAACTTAAAATGAAGAAAATTCTATGTGTACTTGCTCTTATTTGAAACTTGGGGTGAGAGTTGGGGAATTGGCATTTTTATTGTTACTGTTACAGTGCTTCATTACGAGGGAAGAATACCAGAACTCCAGGAGCACACCTTGAGAACCACTGTTCTCAGAGGAGAGAAGAAAGAGCATTCTACATACTTGATCACCATCTATTTCCTCTAGGATCAGGCCTTCCTACCCCCAAATCTATAGACTTTGCTAACGATTTTCTATTAGGCCAGAAATATTCTCACCACTCACATCTTTAAATCAAAATGACAGCAACAAACACCTTTTCGTAGCATTCCCCCGCCCTCTGCAACTATTCTTTTATTCCTTCTTATTGCAATGTTTTACAGTCTACTTATCTCTGTTTCTCCTAACATTTACCCCTTGATTCACCATCATAGTAGCACCCTAGCAGAGACCACCAGTGTTTTTACATTTGCCTATTAGCTGATGTCTCTGCAAACTCGAAACTGCCAGACTCTCCTGCGTTTTAGGAAACCTGCCTCTGGCTCCACCACATGCTAGCGTCGTATCTTTGGCCATCTTACTCCAGTGTTCTAAACCTTGGTTTCCATGTCTACGAAGTGGGGATAGTAATTGCATCTTTTAAAATAGGATTGTTCTTAAGGATTGAATGAAATAATGCACATATAGCTCCTCACATAGTACCTGTACATAAATGTGATTTTAATAATAATTATACCTTCTATACCACCATTTTCTCCTGATTCTTACTTGTGTTACTATTCTCCATCTCCTTCACCTTTTTTTCCAGCTGAGTTTCTTTGTTGGGATTGGCTCAGCTTTCTTTCTTCAGCCTCCTTTTTAGTGGGATGCATTTACCTGGCGTTTAATTCACATCTATTTCTCAACAACCCAAATGTATATCTCTTGCCAGAACCTCTCTCATGATAGTTAGAAAGTTTTCGCGTACTCTGAGCGAAATTTGTCCCCAAACCAAATTTATTTTTTTCTTCTTAAAAATGTCTTTTACTTCATTGAATCTACTTCTGTGTTTTCCCTGTAAATTTACAGTGTATTTTATTCAATTACAAGATAAATACCTCTGCTTTTGCACCTAGACATTTAGGAGCCATTGTTGACTAAATTCTTTGATATTGTCTTCTAAAACAATTCAAATCTATCATCTCCTCTTTATACCTCCTGCCCCTGTCTTTCATTTTCCGTAGCTGGAGTTATGATAGTGGCTTTTTAACCCGGTTTTCCTGTCTCTGTCTTCCACCTAGATCCAGTATATTGCTGCGGTCTGATATGTTTTCACCACTAAGACCTCATTTGAGAAATTAAGCTGGTTAACAGAGCCATATGAAATTTGGCAGTTAAGGAAATCCTAGTTAAAACAGTGGGTTTGCTAATTTAACTGACGATTAGTACAGGTAATCGAAAGGAGAAATCAACATTCTCAGATACGTCGGGTGGGTATATGGTGAAGCAATTTGGCACTAGGTTTCAAGAGCCCTAGAGGCATTCATACATTGGACAACTCCAAGGACATGTCCTAAGTAAACAAAACTATGTACCAAAAAAGCGTGATTCACAATATGACTCTAACAGGGAAAACACTGTCATCTGAAAGCTCAACTGTGGATTAATAAAATGGCCATATAATCACAATGGTGAAATGATGGAGAGCCATTAGAGTTGATGTTTACAAAATCATTTTTATGGCTGGGTATGGTGGCTCATGCCTGTAATCCCAGTGCTTTGGGAGGCCCAGGCAGCTGGATCACCTGAGGTCAGGAGTTCGAGACCAGCCTGACCAACATGTTGAAACCCCATCTCTACTAAAAATACAAAAATTAGCTAGGTATGGTGTGTGCCTGTAATCCCAGCTACATGGGAAGCTGAGGCAGGAGAATCGCTTGAACCCAGGAGGTGGAGATCGCAGTGAGCCGAGATCGTGCCATTGCACTCCAGCCTGGGTGCCAGAGTGAGACTGTCTCAAAAAAAAAAAAGGAATTTTTAAATCAGAAAGTGCTTTTTTTCAAAAGCAAGAATAAAATCTTACATATAATAAACTTAAAATGCTTGGAAAGTGCAGAAGAGAAAACAATTACATGTCAGTATTTAAGTAGCCGTCTTTGGATGGTGGGAATATGAGGAATATTTTTCCACTCTGTGTTTTCTAAATTTTCAGAATGGCCTACTTCTTTAGTGATGAAGGGGACAGCTTTTTTTTTTTTTGGAGTTTTGTTTTAAGAGATGGGATCTCACTCTTGTCACCCAGGGTGGAGTGCAAAGTGCAGTGGCACGATGATAGCTCACTGCAGCCTCAAACGTCTGGACTCAAGCCATCCTCCTGTTTCAGCCTTCCAAGTAACTGGGACGACAGGCACATGCCACGATTCCTGCCTGGGGAGACAACTTTTATTTAATATAAGCAAATTACAGTCACTGATGTTTTAAAAATTAATCATCTCCCAACTTTTTGATTAAGCTTCTTTATTTGTTAAAATAAGTTGTCTGCATATCTCCATTATAGGTATATTTGTTTCAAAATTATATACATTGGCAATTGTACCAAATATTTATGTGCATTATAAGCCATACAAAAACAAATGGAAACTTGTGAGATAAAACATATAAATAGAATTTCCAGTTCCTCTCCTTACTCCAAGCAGGTAAATAGTCACGCACTCTACCTTGAAGATCAGTGGTTCACAAAAGTTTTTTAAAAGTTTTATATCAAGGCAAATTTACTTATTTATAGTCAGTACTATTTTTATGTTTAGCCTACAGTAGGTTTTCAGAAAAGCTTGGTGAATGAGTGAATAAACTTCATGTAAAATAAAATGAGCAAATTATGGAGGATAGAAAATCTCTATTTGGGTGAATGTCTACTTGGCCCTTCTAGAGGGGCCAGCTTGATAACAACAGTGGGTTCTTGCTGTAAGAAAGTAGTAAATGATAGGCCTTAGGAAATCCCTACAGTTCATGTGTGTTCGTATATCTGAGGAGCTTTTTGTTGTTTGTTTGTTTGAGACAGAGTCTTACTCTGTTGCCCAGTCTGGAGTGCAGTGGCTCAATCTTGGCTCACTGTAACCTCAGCCTCCCAGGTTCAAATGATTCTCCTGCCTCAGTCTCCCAAGTAGCTGGACTACAGGCACACACTACCACATCTGGCTAATTTTTGTACTTCTGGCAGACACAGGGTTTTACCCTGTTGGCCAGGGTGGTCTCGAACTCCTGACCTCAAGTGATCTGCCTGCCTTGGCCATCCCAAAGATTGTAGGCGTGATATACCACACCCAGCCTGAAGAGTTTTAATTAGTATATACAAACTTTGTTATTAAATTAATCTAAATTTTAGCTGTCTTTAGCAGAGTTGCAAGCCACATTTTTGCTATGGATGATTGATTATATAAATAAAATCTTACAAGAGGCATTATTGAACTATATATATATATATAAAATGTTACATTGTTAATTCATGCAGAAGTGTTTTGACATATTTTTGATCATAAGGATTTAAGAAATGAGAGTGAAAAATACTGAATGAGAAGTAACAATGTTAGTCATTTTTACATGTTGCAGCCTTTGAAAAGCCTTCAGTTTTCTCATCTGAAAACGAGGGAGTGAGATCATTGATTTGTAACGCTTTGTTTAAGTGTTCTATAATTTTGTCATTTTTATTAGATCTTACCTCCTTAACCTTTATAATTTTTCAGAATAATTAGAATTAATGTAAATATATGAAGTGGATGATACAGCATGTTAACATGTTTTGAAAACTAGAGGCTGGGTGCGGTGGCTCACGCCTGTAATTCCAGCACTTTGGAAGGCCGAGACAGGTGGATCACCTGAGGTCAGGAGTTCCAGACCAGCCTGACCAACATGAAGA